TTGAAATGCTTCATTTGTCCATTGAAATATCTCCTCGTTTTGATGTTATGCACCTTGTATTTGAGCATCCTTTTAACCTATTTACTTTTTTGATTTTGGAATGCTTGTACATGTATTTGCTTTCCTCGCGTTGCTTCTTCTCTAGCCTCTTTGTTGACACTGATCCCTTATCCAGGTTAGCTTCATTACTTTTTTTCTTTTTTTCCCCTATTCAAAATGTTATATATTTCCACATTTGATTTTGTCTGCCTTCTCTCTTCCATTAATTTTTATATGTCCTGGGTCATCCAAAATTTGCTTTCTTCGTTGTTGTTTTTTATGGGGAGGGGGTGTACTTGCTTCCTTTAATGAATTTTTCAGTTTCTCCCTAGTTCTTTCGATTTAGTAATGTTTTCCAGAGCTTGAAATTTATTGCTTACATCTGTAGAGAAACAATCTTTCAATTCTAGATTTGTCGTTAGCAGGTCGAGTTCTTTTCATAATGGAAACTTAATTTAAAACAAATGAGTGTTTTATATGCTATGATGTGGGCCAATGGCCTTAAAACACTGATTAAACTTATTTACTGAAAGGTGCATTTCAAATTTTGTTTGGTGTTTTGACTTTTTAAGTTTTTGCAATCTTATCTGCATTTTACACATGACTCGTCGCTGTCTCATTCTGCTCCTGGTAATGATTTCAACGATTTTATTGCATTTCTTGTTTGGATTTCAGTTGTATCTCAAGGGCTCTACAAATTCTATTGTCTTCTTGGGTGATTTTCAAACCAAGTGTTTGAAATGATGAAATGATTTTTTCTGCACTGTCTTCATTCTGACACTCCCCCAAAACGTTTGATGTTCTTTGTTGGTGCTTCTTCAAAGAAAATTTTCACATTTTACAATTGATTAAAAAGCGCAAAAAACCTAAATGAATGCCGTTTACTGCAATCCCCACGACAACAGATGATCTAGATTGCATTTTTTTCTTCTTTTTCTTTTTGGTAGTGTTATCAGAATTGTAAAATATAATTTGGTATTTGAGACTTTAGGTTAAAACAACTTGGAGTGAGCTTTATTTATTTAATTATGTTGATGATGCTGCTGATGGTGGTGGTGGTGGTGGTGGTAGTGATGATGATGATGATGATGATGATGATGATGATGATGATGATGATGATGATG